CATCTCATACATCCAGTAAACAGAATGAAGCATGAACAGGGCAAAAACACCGACCCCTGGAAACACCAGATATGGGATCAGGTTCCTAGGAGGTGTAAGCATCCCCTGTTGACCAGTCACACTCAATGAGCCCTATTTATTAATCAGGTGTACAGAGTGCTCTGTAGTCAAATTAAATATTAAAGCAATGACCTAATAAATGGTATGAAAGTGTGTCAGACAAAATACAACCCCAAAATAGTTGTATTTACAAACAATGTTTTTATAACTACTGCAGAATTTTTGAAAAGCTGACTGTGAATGAGATTGTTGAAATGCATGTAATATCAACTTATCTGTCAGTAGCCTGCCTTGATTTAAAAATTGATTGTACTTAGAGGATGCTTTTGTGTATTGAATCAGTTGGGGGACCGTAAACACCATGTGCAGGATGTAAGAATATTGCTACATAATTAAGGGAAGTTGATGATGGAAAAGCTGAAGTCATCCCATTTGACATAAAGTTTAGTTATTAGTTAGCCATTATTGTCTATAGTCACTAAAACATCCAAATATGAAACAGATGTTGCAGACTATAGTGTTTTATTTCGAGTTCACTGGGATATATCAAGTTGACAGAGGAATGAAAGTAATTATTGTTAATGATAAACGTTGGTGATAATCTAAATGCCTCATGTGGAAGTTTTTTTTATATAAATTATGCTTTATCGGAATATAAAATCAGGTCAGCTAATAAAAGAACACAATTAGTGCCCATCACAGTTCCAACAGATTGTTGGAAGACCTGGTCTCCAAAGACTATATAGAACTTGTCAATAAGAAAATCCAGCATCTTTTTAAAATCAACTTCAAAGTATCTGTGTATAGAATTGGAATGACTTTTACAAAGTAATTTAGATGACCGATCACAAGATATGAAAATTTACAAGTTCCATTTTTAATGAAGAAGCATCATGAGGAATGAGCATATATCATGAGGAATAGTTGTGTAAAGCATAGAAAAATATATTTTGATTCTATTGATGTTTTAAAAGTTTTGAGATTTTAAATTTTCGAAGTTATTTGGAGTTTTTTTTAGAATCAACATTATTTTGATTCACACATTTCTTGAATATTGGTTTGACAATACTTTAGAAGTTTCTCCTTCACAGCAATTAATTTTTGGTGAGGAGCAAGTCTAGGGGCTTATTGAACATTTACTGGATCCTGCAAAATCTCTTTGTAAGGATTTTTATAAAGTTTTGGAATCTAGTGTATAATAAGTATGATAAATGGAATTTTAAAAGTATTAGAAATTAAACATGATTTTGAAAAATTTTATCTTTTGGTAGGGAACAAATATAGGTTGGATTATCAGATGTGGAAATGAAACTGTAAATTTGTTGTAATAATGAGCCTTACAAACAAAGACTATATTGTGCAAGCTTTGTCAGCTGGAACCAAAACATATTTTTCATGTAATCTCTCTGATTCTTTTATCACTTCTTGTCTACTGAAAAAAGAAAGATATATAGTTCGCATTTTGGCCTTTAATTTTCAAATGCAATTCTTTAATAAATATCTAAAATGCTTTATCTGCATTCTGACAGAGTATCAATTAAGGTCTTTCCCTTTATATTTAGTACTGCATACGTATCCTTGATGGAATTCATAATAGAAATGATGTTCTGTTGCAATGTGAAATATCTGGGCTCCCTGAATTTTAGGACCTTTTTAAATGACAGCTTTGAGGTTGTCATTTTGAACTATACTTAAAATCACCAGAGCTGGCTATAGTTGAAAGAGGAAAAACAAGATAGAACTTAAGTATAGGAGGATTTTGTTGTAGATGGTCAATATCTATGCACTGTAGAGTTTGCGTTTATAATTGAAAATTTAGAGTGCAACGGTTGGGGAATTTCTGTAGGAAATACAAGGTGTAGACTCAAGTATTAAAAAAAAATGATGATTATGGTGCATGCCAGTTTTTAACTTTATAATACAAGTGAAACGAATAATATTGAAAATGTTCATATTTTTCTGGGACAATCCTCATATGTTATATTAATGAGTCTTTAGCTAATGCATGGTTAATAATTATGCCTCTAAACATTGTCATTCGGTACAGTTGGATATTTTCTTGGGGGTTCACAAGCTAATATTGACAGTACTAATGCCTCTATATTTACATTACTGATGTACCTTCATTTCCCTGATGTAAACAATTTGGTGGATGTTTTCCATTGTATAGAAAAGTTGCCTGATCTCAATCCATTAATCCTTTTCAGTCGTCTATCAATGGTCTATCATTGGACTAAATCACAAGCATGGTTAATAAAGGAATATCTGATATGGAGATACCTTCCCTTTAAGTTAACCCGATACCTTGTGTAATATCTGCATACTGCATCTATGAGGTTGCTGCAGTTTGGATCAGATTCAAAGTAGTGACTTTGGGGCTTAAGGTTTAATTATCCTCTGCTCTTAATTCCACCATTTTTTTTTTAAATTACCAACATTGATTTTCATTAACAACAATAGGATTAGATTCAAAAAGAAAATATGATTGAAGTACATGTATGAAGCAGTCCTTGCTTGTTTAGAAATGAATTTTATGTATAAATATGATTTGAAAAAAAAATTGACACTGTGACTAGAAAGAATAAAATTGATTTGAATGCCATTTTTGTGTATACTCATGCGTAGAAATGTGCATGGAGAAACTGGCGCTAAAGTGATGTCACGATAAGCTACAGAGACGTTAATAAAAATGTAACGATATGGTACAGCCCACTAATTGTTTTCCCATAGGCGGCAATGTTAACGTTTCTTCACTTAGCAATGTCCCTAATTTTTGTTCAGCATTGAGTGACCCCTCAAATCAAAGCACATCAAGTTGTCTTTCCTTGGTTAAAATCTTGAGGTGGCATGTTAGATTTGTTTTCCGGCAAAATGTGTCTGTCTGCGTTAACCTCTGAAAATTAAAGTGAAAGTAGGGGAATTCAAGACTTCTCACTGGTGTTATAATACATAAAATAATTCTGCTGATCTTCTTGATAATTTACATCTGCCAAGCTTTTTTGCAAGGGAACATACTCCTTATCAACAAGTATGAGGCTCTGTTTAATACATTATCATAGTTTTTTTTTTATTCAGGTCTGCAAATTAAGGAACTTTCTTCCCCTACTGATTCTAAAAATAATTAGAGGTACATGTATGTACCCAATATAAGGCAGTGAATAATTCAAACATTGAGTATATTTTTGGTGCTTATGAGCATGTAAAATGTAAATGTAAGGAATGTTTTAAATTTTTGTGTGAGTTATTGCTGTGTAAATCACACAGACTTGCACGTAGGCATATTTTTCTTATGAGACCTTAAAAACCACTTGTCACAATAGGCGTTGGCACGATAAAGAACCCTCACTTCTCAGTGGCCCTGAGTGCCCAGTAAAGGTTAAAATTTGAAGCCCTTCACTGGTATATGGATATCTCTATATGAGTGAAAAATTCTTGAACGGGACATAAAACAACATACAATCAATCAATCATGCAACTGGTGATGAAACCTGCAGGAGAAATTGAAATGAAAGACTGGACAGCAAAGTTTTTTTCTGTGAGATTATAAGAAAAGACAGATTTTTTTTTAACTAAGTGAACAGAAAATTGTGGGCCCCAAAATATCAACGTGGGTTAGTAAAACTTGTGAAGTTGGGGACCCACATGGCTCTTAAGGTTTTAAGTGTTATTTGCAACCCTGTCTTAGACACAAAGCTCTGAATTCAGCATGGACAGTAATGGTTATATCTTAAAATCTGATCTATTAACTTCATCTGAAGACAGGATGTAGCTGATTGACTTCTTTCTTAATCTTGTTGACTGGATTTGACTGTCATGACACCATCTTTAGACTGGAATATGTTCTATTTCCATTAGTGAACTCTTCAAAATTAGAGGTGCGTTTGGTCGTCTGACTGGGACAGCATGGTGTTGCGGATAATACGAAACACGCCAATCTCAATCCAATTTTAAATGTTAAATGTATTTGTCATTCTAATTAAAGAATAGAAGAACTAAAAGACATATGTAACAGAGCGAGAACCCTAAATTTATCATCCATTAATAAAAAATACGATATTTCCGAGGTATGTGTATTGTATTTAGATGTACCATACGATAAATAGATACATACGGTCAACAATAGATATACAATGTAAATTGATATTTGTCATTCCTACTCTTGATGTATATAAAGTCCACAACAATAAAATATTTCATTTGCATTTTCTTAGGATTTGTTCATCGACATTCAACATATTGTTTACATGTTTACGTTACGTTTGTCCCAGAAATCCCGCGAGATTTGTACATTTTCCGACTTTTTCACAAAAGAGCGCACTAAGAAGTATAACTCTTCCGTAATGGAAATAGAACGTATTGTCTATCCTGACATCATCTTTAGACATGAATTATCTATCCAGACATCATCTTTAGACAGGAATTATCTATCCTGACACCATCTTTAGACAGGAATTATCTATCCTGACATCATCTTTAGACAGGAATCATCTATCCTGACATCATCTTTAGACAGGAATTATCTATCTTGACATCATCTTTAGACAGGAATCATCTATCCTGCCATCATCTTTAGACAGGAATCATCTATCCTGACATCATCATCTTTAGACAGGAATTGTCTATCCTGACATCATCTTTAGACAGGAATTAGCTACCCTGACATCATCCTTAGACAGGAATTAGCTATCCTGTCAGCTTTAGACAGGAACTTAAGCTATATGCGACCACTTTCTAAGATAATGTGACTACTCTGACCATGAGATCTGTCATATTAAAAAACTAATGAGGTTATATTGAAGATAAGTTACATCATATCTTCTTCTCACTTTTGTTGACTCACTCTTGAGCTTTAAAAATAAATACTTGAGCAGTTTTACCAATCAGATATATGCAGTTAAAACTCATTTACTAGTGTTAACAGTTTTTCTTCCATTATTTAGGTGTGTCTGTGGATGAGGGCTCTGATGAAATCCTGCTATGGGCAATGATATGTGCCTTTGTCACCTTCTTTGGTCTAGGTTTGGCCACTTGTAAATACTTCAGGTAAGATGCATGACTGTCTTTTGGGGCAACAGACTTTCTTTATAGCAAGCATTACTCTAGATCCCCGCATCTCTTAATTATATTCACAACTCAACACAGATATATATAGTAGCTAGTGAGTGAGATGAAACAATTTTGCACTAAATCAAAGTTGATTTAAGAAATTCAACTTAAACAATGGTTTGTCATTGGCTTTTAAGTTTTATGAGCAAATTTATTCCCAAGTATTTGTAAGTCATAGCTGCACCAAATTGCATGGGTGATGCATCTAGAAATGCACACTACCATTAACCTGCTTGGGATGCTGCATCTGACCTTCATTTTCCAGGTGAGTGACCAGGTTAGATATTTTTTAATCATGTCCATTTCCAAGTAACTATCCTGACCAAATTTCCATGGATGATGAATCTAGGGATACACACTATCAGACTTGTTTCAAATATTGTATCTGACCTACTTTTTCCTGATGATTGAACTGCTTAATATTTTTTGGAACAGGTCAGTTCCTAAGTAATTCATTAGCCCTGACTGTACCACACTTGCATGGATGTTGCATCTACCTACATTAAAAGTATGAATAGTTTCTTTGAAACCTAGTTATATGCTCATTGAAAAATAGTATTGGTTGTATTGATACTCATATACTAATCCATACTGAGAAAAAAACTATGCAACTATCTTAAAATATTTTTGACCTTGACCTTCCCTATGACCTTGTCCTCTCTGTTCCTCATTTTACATTTACCTTTAAGTTAGTTTCAAAGAAGCTGTTCAAGATATTTTTACTTAATTTCATACACTTATACAAATTAGTGAGAGTTTTGAACTTTGTCATGATTACTGACCTTGACCTTTCCTGCCATGTTGAGCTCACTATTTCTCATTTTGTGTTTAACTTACTTTCAAAGAAACAAACTTCACACATCGGTACAAATTAGAGATGGCAATTCAAGTATATCATAACTTTCTGACCTTAATCTCATTTTTAGCTCACCTGAGCTGAAAGCTAAAGTGCTTTTTTGATCACCCATTGTCTGACATCTGTCTGTATGTCCATCTGCAAACTTTTCACATTTTCGACTTCTTGAGAACCACCTTGGTGAAGGGGGTCATCCTAAATTGTCAATGAATGGCCAAGCCCCCTTCCAAGGGGAAATAATCAAGAAAAGTCAAAGATATGGTTGGGTCATCAAAAATTTTTCTTCTGAAGAACCACTATATAGACCAGATAAGGTGAAACTTGTGTGAAAGCTTTCTAAGGTAGTGTAGATTCTAAATTATTCAAATCATTGCCCATGAGGTAGGATGGAGCCATGATAGGGGATCAAAGTTGTACATTGGAATGAATAGGAAAAATCTTTTAAAATCTTCTTAAGAACAACTGAATACAAAAGAAACTAATATGTAAACTTTGAGACATAGTGTAGATTCTAAGTTGTTCAAACCATGGTCCCCTGAGGGGTAGGGTGGGACTACAATAGGGGATCCAAGTTTTACACTGGAATATATTGAAACAAATTTTTTAAAAATCTTCTTCTCAAGAACCACAGGACCAGAAAAGGTGAACTTATGTGAAAGGTTCCTAATAAAATGTAAATTCTGAATTGCATGGTCTGTGGGGGTAGGATGGGGCCACAATAGGGAATCAAAATTTTACATTGAAATACATGTAAATAGAATTTATTATTATTATTACTATTATCATTTTAATCTTCTTCCTAAGAACAACTGGAAAAGATGAAACTTATTATTTGAATTCTTACAGTAACTGGTAAAATATAGATTTAAATTGTTCAAATAATTGTAGGGTGGGGTCACAAAAGGGGATCACAGTTTTAAATTGAAAAATACTGGAACAAATCTTATCAAGAGCAACTGGACAAGAAAAGATGAAAAATATTTAGATTAGTGTTCTGATATAAATGTAGATTCTAAATTGTTCAGAACATGGTCCCAGGGGATAGGGTGGGTCCACAACAGGAAATCCAGGTTTTACATTGGACTATAGAAAAAATTTTCATAAATCCTCCCAAGAACCACAATAGAACCATTAATTTGCAAACATTTCCAGGTTGTGTGGATTCTAATTTTCATATTGTAGATATAAAATCCCTGTTAAAGTTTAAGGAGCACGCCAAATAACTATAACCCCATAACGTGGACAGTGTAATCTTTGATTACCTTTGTTTATGAATTATTGCTGTAAGTGTGTAATTCAAGATACATTTTTGATGATAAAAGAGAAAATCAATCAATTTGAAGTTAGTAAATTGAGATAGTAAAGACCTAATTTATCATTCACTGTTTTATTGTTGGCCCCTGAGTAATTAAACCAGATTTTGTACCATATAAGCTAAAGAAGATCATCATCATTTTACACATTCACCTCTAAAAATCAATTTTCCATTAAAAATTTATTAATTATGGAATGAATATATTGATTATTATTAAATGTTATGGTTTACTTGACATGATCAATGTCATTACAAAATGTGATTGCTTTTAATTTCTATGAATTAAGGTTTATTTCCAGATTTGATAGGAGATTTGTATTTGGATGAACGATATCAAACTCTACAATGAAAAAGGTGAAGATAACGGACAGTGAATGATCTCAAAAAAACCTATCTAGCCTATAGCTATCTTGATGAAATCTTAAATATAAGAGAGCTTGTTTTTTTAGCTCACCTGGGCTGAAGGCTCAAGTGAGCTTTTCATAATCTTCCTGTGAATAGCAAATAGCAAAGGCATGCAGATTAGTTATATTTATATGGAAGCATCCTCAGGTAGTGTAGATTCAATTTTGTTCAAATCATGACCCCAGGGGGTAGGGTTGGACCACAGTGGCCTATCAAAGTTTTATATAGATAGGAATATATACATGTACTAGAAAAATTTTCAGTTTTTTTTTCTCTCAGGAACAGCAAAGCTAGGATTAGTCTTATTTATATGGAAGCATCCTCAGTTAGTGTAGATTCAAATTTGTTCAAATCATGACTTATATCACTTATATATTTAAACTTTTCAATTCTGAACTGATTTCGGCTTTTATCTGTGGCCCATGGACCACTTGTTTCATTGTCAACCTAACAAGTGAAACCTTTTGAGAATTTGTTTTATGGTAACTTTAAGCATTAGAGAAATATGCCACAATTCCTGGGTTGCATACACCTCAATTAACCTTTTTTCTCTGGATACAGGCTAAATGCTAGGTTAAAGTCATAGATCAGGTTTGTTAATCCTGACCTTTACCGAAAATGCTTAAATGCAATAAATTGTGCATCTTCTGGATGTAAACTAAATAGTCAAAGCTTACGATAGTGATTCTACAGCTAAATGTGGTTTGATTTAAGTGTTTGAAGCAGTTCTTTTTATCAAATAGCTCCATATAATACCTATACTGTACAGTAGAACATATTGCATGCATGATGCATCATAAGTTACACTTAATCTTGCTGTGGTTGCTATATTTTCTAGATTAGTATAATTAAACTAAATGCAATAAACTTAGGCACCTAATTGAACATTCAGGTGGTATTAAGTCAATTGCCTCTCTTATAGATTACATTTATTGATAGTTTTGTAATCCATGAATACTTACGATTTAAAGAAGAAACCTTCGTTATATAAAGAACTGCGAATGAGAGTATTGTTTTGCCGCCTACCTTCAAGTCATTTTTCAAAAGTTAACATATTTGAATGATTTTTAGCTCACCTGAGCTAAAAGCTCAAGTGAGCTTTTCTGATCACCCGTTGTCTGTCTGTCTGTCTGTCCGTCTAGCTGTCCGTCCGTCTGTCTGTAAACTTTTCACATTTTCGAATTCTTCTCAAGAACCACTGGGCCAATTTTAACCAAACTTGGTACAAAGTATCCTTGGATAAATGGGAGTTTAAATTGTGAAAATAAAGGGCCAAGTCCCCGTACAAGGGTAGATAATCAAGAAAAGACAAAAATAGGGTGGGGTCATTAAAAATCTTCTTCTCAAGAACCACTGGGCCAAAAAAGCTGAAACTTGTGTGGAAGCATCCTGGGATAGTGTAGATTCTAAATTGTTAAAATCATGACCCCAGGGCTAGGGCAGGGCCACAGTAGGGAATCCAAGTTTTACATTGAAATATATAGGAAAAATCTTTTAAAATCTTCTCAAGAACCACTGGGCCAGAAAAGCTGAAACTTATGTGGAAGAATCCTGGGGTAGTGAAGATTCTAAATTGTTCAAATCATGACCCCCGGGGGTAGGGCGGGCCCACAAAGGGAATCCAAGTTTTACATTGAAATATATAAGAAAAATCTTCTTCTCAAGAACATCTGGGCCAGAAAAACTGAAACTTATGTGGAAGTATGCTGGGGTAGTGTAGATTCTATATAGTTCAAATCATGACCCCCGGGGGTAGGGCTGGACCACAAAAGGGAATGCAAGTTTTACATTGAAATATATAGGAAAAATCTTTAAAAATCTTCTTCTCAAGAACCACTGGACCAGAAAAGCTGAAACTTATGTGGAAGCATCCTGGGGTAGTGTAGATTCTAAATTATTCAAATCAGGACCCCTGGGGGTAGGGCGGCACCACAATAGGTATTACAAGGGGGGAAATCTGGTAAAGAACAGCATGGCCAAAGTTACTCAGGTGAGCGATTTGGCCCATGGGCCTCTTGTTCAATTATTTATATAGATATTGCATGGATTTTCACAAAACATAACTTATTTGGGAAAACAAAGAGATATTAACTCTATAATTTTGGTAAAACTTGTGTTTTTCACTATAGAAATCAATGGAAAATGGAAAATATTCTTAAAACACCCCCCCCCCCCCCCCAACCCACCCAAATTGCCTTTACTGTTGAATTAAATTGGTGTAAATGTAGGCAGGAGTTAGCATGCATAATCCTTACAATTTTGTTGAGCTGAACTTTGTAGATTATAGTAATGTCTGAACAGAGCAAGAAATAAATCTTGAGTCACATTCTTCATATTATTGATAGAACTGATGGATTAATTAATTGATTATTAAATGGTTAATTGATTGATTTTGTAGAGACCAGTATGACACACCTGAAAACAAGAAGAAAAGAAAAGACAAGTTGGACCTGCAAAAGAGAGGTAACTGCTAAAATGCACTTGTCTCAGAATTAGATATCATTTGGGTCTTTTTTTTTTACCGTGTCCGGTCACTTTTATTTTATGGAGGACAAGTGTGATATTAAATTTATCATTCAGAGTTGATCATTGCTCTAGTTTCTGATATGTATGAGAGCAGATGATGATGGTGATAAATTCTTTCAAGCAGTTTTTATGCCATTCATATCAAAGAATATTGTAAATTTTAATATAAACTATTGAAAATTAAAAAAAAAAATCAAAAATGTGTGAATTTTTGTCAAATTCTAAATGAATGGTGTGGTTTTAATCTCATTTTTTTCTAGTGAGAAATATTTGATGAAATTATAGTTACATTAAAACATGCTTATAACAAAGTGCCAGGGATGGACAATTTTGCTTCTTTATAAGCATAATTCATTATGATGTTTACCCCTTTATCCCGTGGATATGACTCATTGGATATTTTTTTCATAACCCATAGTTAAGTGCAGTTGTGACGTCACAATGGGTTTTGCGTTAGCGTGATGAAGTAAAATAAAGTGGAGTCCTATATAAAACAGTGTAAAACATTGGCTGTGATGTTTAATACATGGGATAAAAGAATCTCCCATGATTTGTAGTTGGATATGACTTTTATCCAACTCATTGTGTGTTTTTATCCCCTCGCCAAGGCTCGGGGATGAAAATACACAACTCGTTGGATAAAAATCATATCCAACTACAAATCATGGGAGATCCTATATATATCCATTAAGTTTACAATATATTTTTAAGTCATGGGGAATGAAAATCACTTATCTGTAAGCGTTAATTCATTCGCTATAACCATGTTTTACTGTATAAGTAAAGTCGGATAAATTCAATTTGCTGCAAGACTCTCATCTCTGTTATCTCTGTTATGCAGTTACCTGTAATATATCGTGAACAAAAGACTTTTATTTCTTCCATCTTGAAAGAGGGATAGTTTAAAATACATGTATTGCCTATCAGTCTTTCTGTCTGTGAGCCTTTTTTTTTCCAGTGATAACTTTTGATTGTGATGAATAAACGGTGATCATTTTATGGTAAAATTAAGATAAATATTGATTTTCAATGTCAAAAGTCAAAGTAGCAAAATTAATTTTCAGGGTATATAATGGAGAATTCTCTTTACCTTTGGTCTTATGCATTGCCATTGTGAATGACTAGAATATGGTTCTAGTTTGTATTCTCACTTGTTTAAATATTTGTACATGTGGGAGTTTGAAAGTCGAGTTGCTGTAACCATAATCATTAAAGCCATCCAATGATTATTGGAAAAATCTCAATTTCCTGGATTAATGAATGATAACTCGTCTAGGTTTTTGCACATTTTAGCATCTGATAACTGGCCAGTAAATTAATTTTTAAGAAGATTAAAATGAACTTCAAAGCTATTAATAATTGCTAAGATTGTGATGGTTTTCAAGAACACTCGACAGTTCTCTTTGTGGAAACCAATCCTATGTAATAAATATATACATCTTGGTAGCAATGCAGACAGTGATACCAAACAGGACCTTAAACTAATTAAATGTAGAGAAGGGAATTTTTTAAAAGATAATTTGAGCTCGAAACGTTGTTAAGGAACTAAAGTGTTGGTGAATTTTCTGTTGAAGAGAAAATTAAGTGTCTGTAATGTTGTTTTTTTTTTTTTTAACTTAATAGGTAAAATTTTGGGGGTTTTTTGTTTTGTTTTGTTTGTTTATTTGTTTTCATGCCCCTGTAATCAAGATTGAGGGGCATATACCGGGTAGTTTTTGGTCTGTGCATCCATCCATCCTTCCATCTGTCTAGCTGTCTTTGTCTGTTAATCTGTTTGTTTTTGTGCAAAAATTTTAACCTTGCACATAACTTTTGAATGGTTGCGCGTGGTGCTAGGGCTTTCATAATCACATGTGTATTCCCTGTGACAAGACTGTTCTTTGGGTACCAACATGTTTGACCTCTTGACCTTGGAGTTTTACCTACTTATGCAAAACTTTACCAAAATTTACCTTGGTGATAACTATTGAATGGTTGGAGCTAGGGCTTTTATATTTCATAAATTATGCATATTCTGTGTAACCAGACCTTTTTTTGAGTACCTATACATTTTTCACCTTTTTATCTTGACCTTTGGGATTGACAACTTTTGGTAAACTCTAAACTTGGCCATAACTTTTGAACAGTGGGTGCTAAGGTTTTCATATATCATATGTGTATTCCTTGTAACAAGACTTTTCTTTAGGTAACAACATGTTTGACCTCATGAACTTGACCTTTGAGTCTGAACTACATTTGAAAAAAACTTTAACCTTGCCCATAACTTTTAAATGTTTGGTGCTAGGGCTTTCATATTTCACTTATGCATTTCTTGTGACAAGACCTTAGTTTTCCTTTTGTGCCATTATTTATGACATTGTCCTTGGAGTATGACCTACTTTCTGAAAAAAACTTTAACCTAGGCCATATTTTCTGAATGGTTGGTACCAGGCTATTATATTTTACATGTGTATTCCTTGTGACAAGACCTTTCTTGGGTATCAGCATATTTTTGAAGTCTTGACCTTGGAGTTTGGCCTTCATGTAAAAAAAACTTTTAACCTTGACCTTGAGCTGCCATATTGGGACATCAGTGTTTGATATACAAATGAATATTTCTCCTTTATTTCTTCTGCAAACTGATGCTTTATCTACTTATTAACAATAAACTTATTAGAATCGTTCTTTTAAAACCATCTGTTTGAAATATTTCTTAAGAAGTGGGCTCTTCCATCAGTGTAATGTAGAGACAGATCAAGGATACAGTATTTTATGTACTTTCACACATTTTATAGGAATAATTAATGTAGGTTTAAATATAAACAACAAAATGTCATTGTTTGTTAATGCAGGAATAAAGTGCATTATGTATTTTTCTACAAAGTCACAACTGTTACCCCAGCGTGAACAAACACAGAAAGTGCTTTATTATCTAAAATAACTCATTTTCTTTTATCAAAAACATGCAATAAGACTAACATTCAAAGAGAGATAACTCATATTAAAACAATGCATCATATACAGTTGAAATTAAGTTTAATCATCCTTGAAAATGATACTAGGAATTCATTTTTGGAGTGCAGTGAGGGGAATTTTCTCAAAGGCAAGAGACTGATTTAAAACAAATAATCTGATATACTACTCGCACCTTCTCAATAGCATGATATTGAAAATTTAATACTCTATATATTATTTGAAAACTATCATTGCAAATAGATTTTCATTCTAATATGTAGAAATTTAAAGGAAATTTTTTTTTTTTAAAAATTCAGAATGATGTATGTATAGTTTACCAATGTTTCTAATATACCAGCTTGTGAGTATGCCTTATGTACAAAATTTTTTTATTGTGAAAAAGTACTCTTAATTATTTTTTGTGATCCCTTAATAAGATGTTCAGGCCTATGTGTAGGACTCATGCTTATTTGGCTATATTTGAAAATGCATCTTGAAAAAAAAAATCTGCTGCTGGACATTTAGCAGACAAACTGAATTATTATGGAATGGGTAAAAAAAAAAAAAAAAAAAAAAAAAAAAAAAAAAAAAATTTAAATTTGGAGTTAAGACCTCGTTGGTATTAATTTGTGTATTTTGATCAAAATGCTATATATTTTAACATTTCTTAGACTTCAGTCTGAATTTTGCAAATTCACCTCCATGCTAAAAAATAAAAAATAAATTTTTTTTAAAAAGTGTAAGGATAAAATCATGGAAACAAACCTGATATAAAAAAAAAATTGACCAATGATAAAAATATGTTCTTGCATATGTTCATCTGAGTTGAAAATAATATTACATCCAAGTTTACAAGAGTTCACTGATTGAAAACATAATCCAAAAAAAAATTGAGTTTTATATTCAAACTTAACATAAGTTTCTTTCTGCAATAATAAGTAAAATGGATCGGTCAGCAGGCATTGTGCATGATCATGGTTCAAACATAAGCAGTTATAAATAAAATCAAAGCCTTCACCATCATAAAATAGATCTTGCACAAACAAATAATTAGTTAAAAAATTCAAACAAATATGAGGGGTAATCAAAAAGTTCATGAACTAATTGAATTACTTCCATAAAAGAAATAAAATTAAGTTTCAGTGTTTATTATTTATTAAAGTAGTCCTCTCCTATTTTAATGCACATCTGCACTGTTCTGCCCATGCGCGAATCACGTGACATGCTCCGTAGCGTTCTGTTCACAGAAGCTAAAATAATATTCCAGGTCTTATACTTCTTACCTTGCAAGTTATTTTTTACAACAAGAATTGTCCATTTGTCACAAATGGCAAAATCTCCGCAATAGGATGGGTGGATAAGGATATCTTTTCCAAGAATGAGCATGGTGACTATCACAACCCAACTCCTCCATCTTGTGTGCGTCATTTATCCATTGTGGATAAAGTATGGACACCTTCTTTTTATCATATCTGATATGTTTTAAGTCTAAAGTAAATGATATTTTAGGGATTTAATAATTATTTTTTTGTAAAGATATTCAACCATTTTTCTAACTGTAACTCTGCAATATTATAAAACATACTGCTCAACTGAGGACACATCTCTTCTCCAGCTTACTTTCACTGGGCACCAGAACAAACATCTCCCTTCCTTCACTAAAATAATCAATCCAATTAAAAATTGAACTTCTGGCAAGGCTTTTGTCTTCACAAACCTTGTACAAATTATTATATGTAACTGTGAAGGAATTTCGAAGATATATTACGTTAAACTTTACAGTCGTTCGTTGCTTTAATACGACTGAGTCAACCATTTTTTGTCACAAGTCATCTACATACTGACGTCATTTTCACATTGTGACATCATAAACATGGAGCAAAACATTACGTAACATCTGCTATTTATAGAACATGTTTATGACTATATGTGTGCCAAATTTCATTCTGATCTGAATTGTGGTTTTGTAAATGTAGAGATAGTTCGCGAACTTTCTGATCACC